GTAGGCCTGTAGTGCTATGAACTTCCCTCTCAGAACTGCTTTCACTGCATCCCATAGATTTTGTGTTGTTGTGTGTTCATTTTCATTGTTTTCCAGAAAGTTTTTAATTTCTTCCTTGCTCTCTATGTTAACCCATTTGTTGTTTAATAACATGCTATTTAGCCTCCATGTTTTCAAATATCCTTGCATGTTCTTGTTGCAGTTATTTTTAGTTGCATGTCATTGTGATCTGGGAAGATGCTTGATAAGATTTCAGTCTTCTTGAACTTGTAGAGACTTAGTTTGTGCACTAACATGTGGTCTATCTTTGAGAATGTCCCATGTGCACTTGAGAAGAATGTGAATTCTGCAGTTTTGGGGTGTAATTCTTTGTAGATATCTATTAAATCCATTTGATCTAGCGCTTCATTTAGAGTCTGTTTTCTTGTTAATTTTTTATGTAGAAGATCTATCCAGTGATGTCAGCGGGGTATTGAAATCCCCTGCTATGATTGTATTGCTGTTGATTTCTCCTTTGAAGTCCTCCAAAAGATTTTTAATATATGTTGGTGCTCCCAAATTGGGTGCAGATATGTTTCCCAAGGTTAAATCTTCCTGTTAGATTGATACTTTCAATATTATGTAGTGGTCTTCTTTGTCTCTAGTTATGGCCTTCATTTTGAAATTTACTTTATCAGATATGAGTATTGCTACCCCAGCTTTTTATTGCTTTCCATTTGCTTGAAAGATTTTTTTCCATCCCTTCACTTTCAACCTATGTGAGTCTTTTGTTATGAGGTGGGTTTCTTGTAAACAACATATATGTGAGTCATGCTTTGTTATCCAGTCAGCTACTCTGTGTCTTTTTATCGGAGCATTCAAACCATTCACATTTAAGGTGATTATTGATATGTACTTTTTTATTGCCATTTTGTTTAGTATGGTACTATATTTCTTCCTATTTCTTTTACTAATTATAGCAGTCCTTTTAGCATATCTTGCAGTGCTGGTTTGGTGTTAATATATTCTCTTAGCCTTTTTTTTTTTTTTTTTTTTGGTCTGGAAAGCTCTTTATTTGACCTTCTATTTTGAATGACAGCCTTACTGGATAGAGTAGTCTTGGATTCAGATCCTTGTTTCTCATGACCTTGATTACTTCATGCCACTCCCTTCTGGCCTGCAGTGAGAAGTCAGCTGAGAGCCCCATGGGGTTTCCTTTGTAGGTAACCTGTTGGTTATCTCTTTCTGCCTTTAGGATTCTCTCTTTGTCTTTAGTTTTTGGCATTTTAATTACTATGTGTCTTGGTGTGGGCCCGTTTGGGTTCTTCTTACTTGGGGCTCTCTGTGCTTCTTGAACTTGAATGTCTTCTTTCTTCACCAAGTTAGGAAAGTTTTCTGTCACTATTTCTTCAAATATATTCTGTATCCCTTGTCCATTTTTTTCCTCTTCCGGGACTCTTATGATGCGAATGTTATTACATTTCCAATTGTCCCACAGTTCTCTTAAGCTATCATCCTGTTTTTTAATTGTTTTTTCCTTTTGATTTTTCTGATTGGTTGATGTTTTTCTACCCTGTCTTCTAATTCACTGATCTGGTCTTCAGGTTCCTCTACTCTGCTGTTTAGTACTTCCAATGTGTTCTTAATTTCTGCTATGTCGTTCCTCATTTCCACTTGGTTGATTTTCAGTGTTTCTCTATCTTTACTCATGGTGGTGATGTCCTTACTTACACTGTTGAGCTTTCTCAAGATTGTGGCTCTGAACTCTACCTCTGATAATTTGCTTAGCTGCATTTCATTGATCTCATCTTCGATAGAGTTCTCTTGTTTTTTCATTTGGGATTTGTTTTTTTGTTTCACCATTTTGGCTATCTCAGTGGGTTTTGGAGCCTGCCAAATTTTCCCTGTGGGTGTTGTTGTTCTGCTGTTTGTGGCTCCCTCTACTGGGTTTGGATGAGCCTGGGTGGGCCCACGTTAAACATCACTGTCACGTCTTACTTTCCTGGGTAGATTTGCAAGCCCAGGAAAGGTTCAGTTATCCTCTAGCTTTTTTGTGGTGGCTAGTAGTCTCAGTTACTCAGTGCCTTGGAATGTAGCCCTGGTGTTCTGAATAAGAGGATTTCCAAAGGGTGGGATAGATGCTGGTTGTTAATGAGCCTCAATTTTTATTTCTTTGCTTCACCTGGGATAGGCTGAATCTCCTGGGGGTTGGGGGGAGGGTGCTGCTTTTCCCCACAGCTCTGGGAAGGAGCACACTGGCCACTGTCCATTGTGGCTGTAACTCAGCAAAAACTCTGAGTGCCCTGTCAATCCTGGGTGTCCCCACAGAGTTCCAGCCCATTCTGCCCTCCCTCTGCCGTAGCCCCCAGGTGAGTGGCTGTGGCTATTTTAGTGCTTTGTCCCAGCTCTCTGAGCTGTGGAGTGGGCTTGGTTTTTATTCCCCAAGGGCGCTGCTCACAGCTAAGACTGCTGCTGTCCGTGGGCTCTCAGCCTGCCACCCTCTCACCCCTCCACAGATCCTACCAGTGTCCCTGGTTATATAGCCCTGTCCTGCTGCTTTTCTGTTGCTTTTTTATGAGGATTTGTCTTTATTTTAGTTGTAATTCCCGTTTGTTCCTGGGAGATTGTCTGCGTAGCTTCTATTCACTCCACCTCCATTTTCACAAACTCTAAGCCTATCTTGTGCGCAGCTGTGTCGCACAGGCCTTCCTGGTGCCCCAGCACCTTACAGGTCCTCAGGGTAACTGGATCGCACAGTCCCTTTGGGGACCTGGCTCTATGTCTATGTTATGGGCTCCTGGGTCGCACAAGCCTTTTTGGTGCTGCAGCACTCCGCAAGTTCCATGGGTAACTGGATGGCACAGTCCCTGCTGGGTCTCGCAGGCCTCTCTGGTGCTTCAGCACCCCTCAGGCCCCATGGGTAACTAGATGGCGCAGTCTCTGCTGGGTCACACAGTCCTCTCTGGTGCCTCAGCACCCTGCTGGTCCCATGGGTATTTGGATGGCACAGCCCCTGTTGGGTTGTACAGGCCTCTCTGGTTCCCCCACACCCTACAGTTCCCGCGGGTGGGCGGCTGGATTGCACCAGTCTCTCTCAGGCTCTGGCTTCCCACTGCTCTTGTGGGCTACTGGACTGCATAGACCTTTGTGGCGCCCCAGGTCCCGCCGCTGGCGGCTGGGGAGTCCTGCTGCCCCCTGGGGCTCAACTCCTGCTCAGCGTTTGCTGTAGTTTTTGAGGATGGGTCTCATCTGCTGGTCTGTGCTTCTGTTGCCTGGGGACGGATGTCTGCTCACCAGCCTCTGTTGCTTGGGGTATATTTTGACTCTGATTGGGCTGCTACTATGGGGGATGGTGCTGGGCTCCGGGTGTCTGCGGCTTCTGCAACAGGCACCTTGGCAGCTCCACTACTGTGCACTGGTCTGTGTTGACACAGAGTGTCCACTGGTCCGATGGTGCCAGGTGCACTGGTGGGCTCAGGTTGCTGGGCCCTACCTGCTCCCACTGCCTCCTCCCAGAGAGGACCCAGAATCTTCCAAAATGGTGGGACCTCCCTGCGGTGCAGGGAGAAGCACCATGAAGGGCCGCTTACTTGTGGTAGCCAGCTGCTCCTGTCCACAGTACAGGAACTTTCTGCTCTGCGTCTCTGCACTGCTTGTGTTTGGTGGTCCACCTTCAGGTCCACTCACACTCTCTCACACACTCACCCTCCCTCCGGTCCTGCCTGCCACCATTTTCTTCTCTCCACAGGTTACTTACTTTTTTGATTCATTTATTTCTTTATTGACAGCTGCTTTCACTATAATGCAAGCTCCAGGAGGGCAAGGACCTTATATGATTGATGTACCACTGTGTCCAGAGTGCCCAACAGCTGAATAAATGCATGTAGCCAATCTTACTCCCAAACAGCTTTTACTTGCTTCCATCTCCATGACACTGCACATGACCTGCCTTCAACCTATAATGCCCTCCAACTTATTCTTGACCAACTAATATCCTCTCACATCCTTCAAAACTTAGTTCAAGACTCATTATTTCCAAAATCCCTTGCTCATTACTGACCGCTCTCACCTTATGATCCCATTAATTATTGATTCAGTAAGTGTACACAGAACCTCTTAGCAATCTTGTAAACAGCTGTTACCACATTATCACGCCTTTGCTTTTATTTGCTTTGTAATCATAGTCATTTCATGTATGTAGGTAAGTATTGTTCCCTAAGACTGTAAGTTACTCCTGGGTCAATATTGCATCACACTTTTTGTAATTCTCCTAAAGTACTTAGTCCAGTTTGGTGCACACTGCCAGCCATAAAGCAGAACACTCCCTTCATACCTCTGAGAAAATGCAAATAGCTGGAAGCTCATTTTAGGAACAGAACTAGAGTTTTAAAGAGTTGTTTTGAAATTAGAAAAATGAGACATATGCTTTTCCCTCCTTACTTTATTAAAAAAAAATCAAAACAGCAGCTCAGAAAACATTCCTGTGTGTGGCAGTAGCTTAGCTATCTATTTCATCATACCTGTGGAAGAATGCACAGAAGATATTGATATGAGGTAAATAACCTGAGGTTAGGATTTTAGATTTAATAAAACAATTTTTTTGCAGCTTTCAGAATTTAAAAAATAGTTGTTCATATCAAGGGAGGGAGATAAAGAATAACAAACATGATCTATTCACTCCAGGTGGAGTTTGCCATCTTCCAAACTCTAACAGTTTGGGCTACAGATGAGATTGTCATATATTTATTAAATGCTATTCCCCATAAAACACAATCTGCCACAGCAACTGGAAAAATGAGTTATTTTGGTATATTTCAATAGGACAAGGTTCCTAGAGTTTAAAGATTTTGGCCAGTATATATTTAACCATAGTTTTATAATTCAGGTTAGTAATAATAAATGAGCAACACATCATTTTTATTTAGAAAATAAGTTTAATAGGGAAAACTGCTTTCAACATACAGAAAGCTTGTTGTATGTGTAAGAATTAGTATAAAAATATTAGATATTTTTAATGCATAGATAGGCACTATTCAAAAGTAGTTATATAAACTTGACATAGACTCCCCAAGGTGAAACAATCTAAAATTTGACTTAAAAAAAATCTAGTAGTGATGATTAGCCTAAAGTGTTTGTTCTGTTATTTATGTTTTTTTGGTATGTGTGTCAAATGCTCTATTTGATCCTTTCTAGGCAACTGGGACATCTTGTGAGAATAACTTAAGTTGACTAAATAATTTATCTCAGGGTAGGCTTGCAAAGTAAGTTAAAAAGATAGAGAATTCAGGCCACTTAAACTGTACATGACTACAATTGGAAGAAGGTCTTTTGGGACATAATTAAGCACACATGATAAAAACTGCTTTTTTTAAATACAAGATTTAAGACCTGGGATGCTTCAAATTTAAATAAAGGATGGTTTTACTACGATAGTCATAACTTTTAAATGTTAAGCATTTTCATTTAGCTTCTGAGAAGGCATAATTTACACTGTTGTATGTGCACTCATAAGTAATCAAAGACTCTGAGTTCCAGAGTGATTATATTAGGAAGTCTTAGGTCAAATTGAGCAAAACTAGGCCAATGTGGGTTAATGCAAGCTGTGACCCTGTAACTGAGCTCTGCTCAGCCACTTCAACTACATGTTGCTTTGAGGTGTCATGGCAACACCCTTTCTTTGGTATTGTGTAAATAGCCTATATTATCACTGCTAGCCTTTGTTATAAAATCTGGTGGAAGGCCATCAGGTGATGTTCATGTTGGGAGACTTTCCTGTGGTGCAGGTGTTCCCAGGGACATCAATTAGGAGCTCAGAGGTGGCATAAGGCTGAATCTTCTCATATCCAAGAGCAGCAGACAGGAGTACCCTCTCCTCACTCCACACTTGTGCAATTAAAAAGCTACATTTATCTGTGATTGCAACACGTCTTCAGTCAGTGCACTTCTGGTTCCATTCAGTTTTAAAGAGTTGGTTTTCTAGAATTTAGTTTTCCAGTTTTGAAGAACTTCTTTAATTCTCGCAATTCCTGGGGCTTCAAACTCTGATCCACCCCTGGGGTCAATTTATAGCTTAGAGGAGACACAGTGTAACCATTTTGGTATAGACAGATTCTCTTGCAGAACTCAAAGGTTCCAAACATAACTCCAAAATATGGAACTATCTGTTTAAAAATAAATGAAAACCATGTTAAAATCTTAAAAAGAAAAGTGTCAATTTGTCTGCAATCAACTTGAGTCAGAGTAAACTGAGTTAAAGGCTGTGGATGATACAACATGGTAATTCTTTTTGGAATCAGGGAAGATGGCAGGTTGGGGGTGAGGAATGACAGAGCAGTTGAGGGGTGCTGGGGAAGCACAGGTCTGGATTAATATGCACATAGACAGATCGACAGTTCCTGTCAACATATGCATGTCTTGATTGAAACCATTTATGTATGCATCAACTAGTGCAAGGTTAGTCCAGAGTTCTTAACCTTTTTTGGGGGGGTCATAGAGTTTTTTTGGAATATGATGGAAGTGATGGATCCTTTCTCCGGAGAAAGGCACATATGCACACACATTCGCATTTTTGCATAAAATTTTAGGATGGGGGGTTAGATTCCCCTTGGAGTCTATCAACCCCCATGGTGGGAACCTCTACACTAAATGGTCAGCTCCTCTGGGATGGGGTATCAGATGCCCCAACACTGCACAGGGTCCTCTCTCTTCAGGGCAGATGGCCAGATTGCACTCATGGGCCTTAGGCTACCATCAATGCTAGAGGGGACATTTCCATGCAAACTATAGGGGGAGTGGCAAGGGAACAGGCTAAAACTAGAAGAGGCAGAGAAACAGTAGAGACTGACCACTCTTCTCACCTTCAGTAAGTTGGCTGCCAATCCATTCCAGAGCCCTAGTACCCCTTGGGACTTCACTATCTGCCGGAAGCAGTCCATGGCTCCTGAGAAATGGACATCTACTCCTCCACAGTGGGGAAGGAAGGGGCTCTGAGCCTGGAAGGAAATAGAAGATGGGATGAAATGATTTAGTCATCAGGAAATAAGTGTTCTAGTTAAAGTAGGCAGGGTCTCAAGTCTGGACTCTGGATGTCATGTTCCTGGCCAAGAGGATGGCAAAGAATGGTGGTCACAGGGCTCTTCTTGTTCCACGGGCTTAGAATGAAATTTATTAACATGCACCAAAGTCATGACACATTGCCCACAAATTTGGGATAGACTCAGCTTTACACTTAATATTCCTACTCAACCTATGCCCTCTGGACATGATCAACACACACCCCATGCTCTTATGCTCTTAACCTTTTTTTTGAAATCCTCACGGAGGATATTTTTCCATTTATCTTCAGACGGAGTGGGAGGGAGGTGGGGGGGGGGAGAGAGAGAAATATCAATGTGAGAGAGACACAGCAATTGGTTTCGTCCTGCATGACCTCAACAGGGACTGGGGATGAACTGCAACCAAGGTACATGCCCTTGGCCGGAATTGAACTCAGGACTCTTTCGTCTGTGGGCTGATGTTCTAACCGCTGAACCAAACTGGCCAGGGCGCCCTTAACCTTTTTAAGTGCTTCTGTTCCCTTTCTTAACTGATTCATCCCCTTGTTTATTTTAATTTATTTTTTAAAAATAGAAACAGACATAGATAAAAGACAGCAATTTTTATTATTTTTTAAATTTATTGAGGAGGGAGAGAGAAAGAGAAACATCAATTTGTTGTTCTACTTATTTATGTATTCATTGGTTGATTCTTGTATGTGCCCTGACCAGAGATCAAACCTACAACCTTGACATATCAGGACAATGTTCTAACCAACTGAGTTACCCGGCCAGGGCCTCATCCCGTTGTTTAGACCTCTGCTGTGGCACAGTCTATCTGGCACTGAGAAGGCAAGCCAGGTGCAGCTCCTTCGGCCGTACAGAGACCCTGCCCCTGACTTTTATAATCCCCTTACATCCGCCAACTGCCTAAACTACAGCTGAACTAGAAGGCCCCCAAATACCCAGAAGCTTATCATGTATAAAAGGCAGCAAGAATCCGGGCTCAGGGCTCAGCCTTTGGAGGTGACTCTGCTGGGCCAGCACCGGTGCACATTAAACAGTCATTTTCTAATCCTCCAAGTGCATGCAGTCTGTCTCTTTCCATCAACTGAATTTCTGCCACAACATTTTGGTGCATTGGCCAGAAAGCCAACAGCTGCATTGGCTCCTTGAGCCACGATTGCCAGAAGCCAGTGGGAAGGAGCCACTAATTTTGGGCCCTCGTGATGGAAAGGAAGGTGCATCACTGGTGAGTTCACTGGACCCTGACCCTCACTGGGCCTGACTGTAGTTGGCCTCCACTGTGCCTGAATGGACTCTGGGGATAGAAAAGCCTGCCAGGACATGAGATCGGTAAGTGTCCCCAGGGACCAAGGACTGAGTTTAGGTCCACCTCTAAGGCAGAAGGGGAGTTTGATCTCCTCCCAGGTGGCACAGATGCTGCACAGGATAGGGAATTCCTGGGTGGAAGTTTAAATTCTGTGTAATTGTGTGTGTGAGTGACCATGCTCCAAAACACCTATTACGGAGCCTGTATGAGTCCCAACCTGCGTGTCCATGGTGACCTCATATGGCTAAGGGCAGTATTGGGTTTTTGGGGACATTTGTCTCCACCAGTGAACCTGATCCGAGTCAGGGGCTTATACTGACCTGCCAATGCCAAGAGGCTCCTAAATCCCTGCAAGGGGAGTGGCCAGGAGGACGAAACAAGAACTTCCTCTTATTTGTCTCATGACACCATTCACTGGGAGGTTTGCTTAACCATCTTAGATATCATTATGGGGAGAAGTTCCTCTAAACCCACTGTTCTCAAATGTATGATAAAGATTTTATAAAGTGGTTCTTAGGAGATTATGGGGTCAAATTGACCCCTGGAAAATTGCACACCCTCAGTGAATTAGTATGGGATAGGCCTCTGAAGGCACCCTTGATGTCCCCACAGTCCAGGTTGTGTATAGAATAGTCACCGGAGACTCCAGCCATCCGACCAATTTCCCTACATAGACCAGTGGTTGGAAATAGCCCAAATCAGGCCTGTTTGGGTCCGATTCTGTGGTACTAGTCAGGGACAGTGTAAGGTCCTGGTGGCACAAGGTGAAAGGAAGACTTTACAGTGAATTAAGCAGCCTCTTATATTACAAGGGGATTCGGAAGAGGCCCCTTTACTACCACCACCATACACCCCGCTACCTAAGGATGGGGAACCTCACCTGCTCGACAGCCTATCTCCATCCATCTCATCCCCACAACTGGCCACTGTGTCACTGGATCCAGGGACACCAGAGCTAGTGGGAAGATGTCTCAGGTCAGTGACCCAGGGACCAAAACCCCCAGTGGCAATGCAATTACCACTGTGGGAGACAAGGGGTACAGAGAATGGGCCTTGATGGGATCCTACAAGAGGGAGGAGCAGTCTTCCAGACTCATCACCTCACCTGGGTCGACTATAATGGATTGTCACAGAAGCCAGGAAGTGGCTCCAGACCCAGGCACCAGCTGGACATCTAGACATAGAAGCCTGGGCACAAGAGGTCTTACCTGATGAGGAACCCTCAGGGAGACCCGCAGACACAGAGATGTGGGAGAGAGCAGGAGAGAGACAAAGGCACAGAGACGAAGCCAGAGTTTGGGGAAGACAGAGAGAGGCCAAAGAAACTGTGGAAGACAGGCAGGGAGAGACGAAGATGCAGGAGAGGAGGGTTTGCAGGAACCAGGCCACTAGGCAACTCTCCCAAGCCAAGGGGCAAGTTTTCTCCATCTGCACTGAAGGTCCCCAGTGCCTCTGAAACTCTGCCTCTGACCCTGGTGCTAGTCTGAGCCCCAGGCTGCAGAGAGGAGCTTTCTACAAAGCCAGGCTGTGAAGGACGTGGTGCCCAGATGGCCTCAGTCCCTCCCAGCTTCAGCACCCTGCTATGTCCCAGCTGGACTCACATCCCAGGAGGGGCCTGATGGGCAGCTGGCTGTGGGGAGCCCAACCCCGTCTGCTGCTTCCCACTGTGCCCTTCCCTGGGCTGGTGTGGCTGCTCCTGCTGCTGTTGGCTTCCCTCCTGCCCTCAGCCCTGGCTGGTTTGACTCAGCGGTTAGAGTGTCAGCCCATGGACCAAAGAATCTCAGGTTCGATTCCAGTCAAGGGTGCATGCCCAGGTTGTGGGCCCAATCCCCAGTGCAGGAGGTGGAAAAACGAGTGCCTCGACCACCAGTGAGGAAAACCAGGAACTTCTGCTCTACCCAGCTGCTACCGGCCAGACTTAGGTTTCAAGATCACCCAAGGTAAATGAATGCTAGGGGCCAAAAGGAAATAGGCAGTCTGCACTATTCCGGTTCTCACTTCCCAGCAACAGATTCTAGAATTCCTGGGAGCAGCAGGGTTCTGTCGAATATTGATACTTAGATTTTTCAGAACTGGCAGAACCCTTATATGAGGCCCTAAAAGGAGAAGAAAAGGTGCCCCTTGTCTGAGACCCCAATCAAAAGAAAGTGTTTACCAGCCTTAGGACTCCTGGATGTCTGTGGGAGTCCTAACCCAGGAATTTGGGCCTTGGCAGAGTCTGGTAGCTTATCTTTCAAAGCAAATTGACCTGGTTGTGACAGACTGGCCACCCTGTCTGAGGGCCTTAGTGGCCACCACACTGCTAATAGAGGCAGCTGTACATGGATGGTAGCAGTTACATGAGTGAGAGCAAAAGATATGCCGGGTATGCAACAGTTTCAGATTTTGAGATTGGAAGCAAGGGCCCTCCCTGAGGGATGGTCTGCCCAAAGAGCAGAACTATGGGCCCTGGTAATGGCATTAGAACTCAGCAAGGATTAGCGGGCCAACATATATACTGACTCGCGCTGTGCCTTTGCCACCCTACATATGCATGGGGCTATATACAAGGAAAGAGGGCTCCTTACTGCAGCGAGGAAAGGTGTAAAAAAAAAACCAAGGTGAAATCCTAAAATTGTTGGAGTTGGTCTGGGAACCAAGAGAGGCAGCAGTCGTCCACTGCAAGGGACACCAAAAAGGAAGAGACTCAGTGTCAGAAGGAAACCGTCAGGCAGACGCTGCAGCTAAATAAGCTGCAGGAGAACAGACAGCCCCATCAAAAATCATGCTGGATCCAGAACTACCTGCAACCCTAAAATACATGGCCCAGGAAGAAGAATGGGCACAACAGGGGAGGGGAGATATAATAAAAAAAGGATAGTGGATACTCCCAGACCACAGAATCTACATGCCAGAACAGTTAGCCCATTGGTTAGTCCTCCAACAACATGAACTCACCCATCTGAGAAAAACTGGCCTAGAAGCCTTATTAAGCCAGTACTACCTGATTGCTCAACTTCCATCCCTCTGTGCCTTGGTCTTCCAGCGCCATCTCCACTGGGCTCAAAACAATGCCAGACAAGACCTCATCAGGCCCTCTGGGATCCAGCACTTTGGCCAAGCGCCCTTTGAAGATCTAAAGGTAGAATTTTCAGAAATAGAACCCAGTAGAGGAAATAAATATCTTCTGGTTTTCATCTGTACTTTCTCCGGCTGGGTTGAAGCTTACCCCACATGTAGGAAAAGGCAAGAGAAGTAACCAAAGCTCTACTGAGAGACATCATCCAGATATATGGAATGCCGTTGACTATAGGAACAGACAATGGCCCAGCCTTCATAACAGAAATAGTACAGCAGGTAGCTAAAACTCTAGGCATCCAATGGAATTTGCACACGGCCTACTGGCCCCAGAGCTCAGGGAAAGTAGAATGCATGGATCAGATCCTTAAGCGGACCATGGCAAAACAATGTCAAGAAACCAACCTGCCCTGGACTGATATATTGCCCCTAGCTCTCCTGTGAGTATGTTGTACCTCTTGGGCAAAGATAGGGTTCTCTCCTTTTGAAATCTTATATGGGAGACCTACCCCAGTGATCAAATTCAATGGGATATAAAAGAACTGGGAAATTTAGAAATCCAAAAACA